TGATCTCCAGGTCCTTGTATTTGGACAATTTCTCGATTATTTTTATGGAGGTGTTTCTCTCAGAAGGTACTGCTTTGTCAATGAACATACACTTCCTGAATTTCTTGTCTTTTATGATAATATCAGGTCGGTTGGCTTTTCCTTGTCATTTGAATTGACATGTCCCAGAGGATAATTACATCATTATTTTAGTTAACCGTGTCTGCTTTGGGGTCATACCATCTCAGTGGTTTCGATTTTCTGCTTCTTGCATATTTTCCAGTGCATATATATCGCTACCTTGTTACCTCTGTGGGTATATTCATTTTTTGCTAGTTCCGGGCATCTTGAGATAATACGGTCGACAGATTCATCGTATTTTTCACAGACTCTGCATTTCGGGTTAGTTACATATGTACTTGTGAGTACAATTTTTTGTATTTCTTTAAGGCATAAGCTAGGGAAATCCCTTCAATGAGTCTATAAGAAGATTTTCCAATCCAAGGGCTACAATTACAACTGGAATTATTATTATTATTATTATTATAAATGTTTACATAATCAAAATAACATTTAACGGAATAAGAATTAATGCTGTTCCATTCAAAAGTATACTATTACTCTAAGCCTTATTTGTAGTGGATACACATGTTTAAGTAGACGTCCTATTTTTATGAACATGTAAATTACGTCAACCAGCCGGTGCATCCGAGAGATTTAATAAAGTACAATGTTCCCTCCGGCCTACATCACATAAAATAAAATAAAATTTAAAATTAAAAAAAAAAAAATCAAATTCAAATAAAAAAAATTAATTCAAAATTTTCAAACATAGCGTCCACCCCAAAAATTCAACCTTAGCGTTGCGACCGCACGCTCCAGAATTTCTTACAGTTAACAATAACACATTTCTAAAAAAAACATATTTCGATTCACATCTAATCTTTCCTGTCCCGTTATTACCTGGATGTATTTAAAAAAAAAAACAAATCAATTTCCATGCCTGATGATGTCTGTATGAACAGATGAAAGTACTAGCAAAAAAAGACCTTATACAAGTTGAATTTATTAAAAACAGGGATCACAACATTCATCTGGAGGTTCGTGTGTTAATGTAATTTTAATAAATTTGTTTGTGAAGATGTAGTCTTGCCATTTATATCATTAACTTCACTAATCTGTTTTCAGAGGAGCGTTTCTATTAGGAAGGTCGATTTGGTTACACATGCAGAATTGTAGCTTAAAAACAGTAAAATCGACCTTGCACTGTAGCTAAATCGGTAAAGCACGTGAGGCTATATGACAGTTCCGTATAGGATACAGGTTCGATTCCTGTTGGAGGACGCATATTTTCTATGAAAATTTCTCGCCAGTCAAGCCGTTCAATGTTGTTTAATACTGTTTATTATAAACAGAGCATTTACTTAAATATTTGTATCTATAAAAAGAATGTATAAACATAAAAATGTCTTAAAATAATTGTCGGACTTTGTTCATTTCATAATATATATATATATATATATATATATACGTCTGTGTGTGTGTATTTAGTCAGTGAAAGAGAGAAGAGAAGTGAGAGGATGAATTAACGTTTTGACATATTCTGAATGGAACCTAATGACCTTATATATTCCTTGACACCTTTGATGTTTCAATAACTCAATCGAATGAATCAGGCAACCGAATTTCTATGATTTATTGACATCCTTTCCAGATATTCAATCTTTCTCCGCTATTCAAATCAATCGATTATTGAATTTACAACGCTCAATTCAGCCTTCTTTTGTGACAAGATTTCTGTACAGAACATTAGATGAAAGTCGTCTTTTCTTTTCCCAATAGAACTTCATCGGAAGGCGTGTTATCCTTACAATAATATGCGCTATGTAAGATTTTATTATTCAAATGAAATAGCAATAGCAATAAAATTGGATTTTGGTGCAAATTAATGAAGAGGGTATTACGATCTTCACCCCACTTCCAATATCTTCTTGTTCCTGTGGTTGTTGTTTCGAGTTTTGATTTCCAATGTCGATTTGAAAAGAAGGTAGGTAATTGCTTTTTAACTTGGTGAACTGCCAGAATATATTTCCCGAACCCGATTCTTACCCTACCTTATTTGCAATTGGGGCCTACGAAACTAGAGAAATCTTCAGATATCCTGTGATGTATTCATCTCTCAAATCGCTTATAATTAATTCCTTACCGAGTGCATACATATCTATCTATCTATCTATCTATCTATCTATCTATCTATCTATCTATCTCATTCTTTTCATATCTATCTATCTATCTATCTATCTATCTATCTATCTATCTATCTATCTATCTATTCATCTCTATCTATTCTATCTATCTATCTATCTATCTCATTCTTTCTATCTATCTATCTATCTATCTATCTATCTATCTCATTCTTTTTCATCATTCTTTTCTATCTATCTATCTATCTATCTATCTATCTCATTCTTTTCATATCTATCTATCTATCTATCTATCTATCTATCTATCTATCTATCTATCTCATTCTTTTCATATCTATCTATCTATCTATCTATCTTCATTGTTTATCTATCTGTTCATTATATATCTATATCTATTCATTGTTTATCTATCTATCTATCTATCTATCTATCTATCTATCTATCTATCTCAGTTCATTGTTTATCTATCTATCTATCTATCTATCTATCTATCTATCTATCTATCTATCTATCTATGTCAGTCTGTTTATATCTATCTATCTATCTATCTATCTATCTATCTATCTATCTATGTCCGTCTGTTCATATCTATCTATCTATCTATCTATCTATCTATCTATCTATCTATCTATCTATCTATGTCAGTCTGTTCATATCTATCTATCTATCTATCTATCTATCTATCTATCTATCTATGGTCGTACCTCAAATCGCTTGTAATTAATTCCTTACGGATTAGTTCATTCCAATTAATCAGTCTTTCCTTCAAATGACACCAATCAACATATCTTGCCGTACCTTATTTCATAGATATCGTTTTGAAAGTTAGAAATATTTGTCAAAGATTATACAGCAAGATTTTTTATAAACGAAACTGAACACTCAATTGGTAAAAAATTCTTTAATTCGAATTTCACGGTCTTTCGTTAAAAATTGAATATCAAGTCCGCCTTTCACTTATTTTGGTAGAATAGGAAAGAAATAATAACAATAAAAAAGAAATGAAATGTTTTCATGTTTGCAAAAACAGATAAAAATGCCCAACATATTAATATCGTGTGATGTGGTGGATATTGAATGAGCGTTAAAAGACAGCTGAAAAGAACATTTTCTTTTTCTTTCGCTGTTTCACTTTTTCGAATATTTCTGGAATATAAATGGCTGATCGACACGAAATATTAAAGATTGACTTCATAAATAACGGCTGGCAATTTTGAATTTTAGATGTACTAAAGAATTATTTCAGAAAGTTTGTCTCATTTTGTCTGTAGCGATCACACTAAGTGCAGTGATAAAAATGATAGCAGCAAAACTATTTTCGTATTTACAAAATCTTTAAACTTTTGGGTTAGAATTCCACGTGTATATACGCGTGAGTGCTGAAAAGTTATCACTTTTATTATCTATCTATCTATCTATCTATCTATCTATCTATCTATCTATCGCAGTCTGTTCATATCTATCTTTTTTTAAGCGTTTCACCGCAAGCAAGGCGGGAAGTTACCAGCACTCAAGGGGTTACAGAGAGTTGGAGCGAGAGCAAATAGGATGAAGAGGGGATAGATCAGAGCATCTGGAGATGTCGATTGACATTACATTTGAATAGTTGGAGATTATAGCTATCAGGGAAACAGGAAAAGGGGGAGAGTTCCACAAGCGAGAAGTGTGAGACATGAAGCTATTGTAGTAGAAGAGACGGCTACATTTAACAGTTTCGACATTTAAAAGATGTGAGCGAGATGCCAGCCTAGTAGAACGCTTAAATTCATCAAGTTTGGGAACCAGCGAAAGCAGCTCCTCGGAGAAGTTACCATGAAAGTATTTGTAAAACGGACAGAGGAAGGCAACGGCACGGCTGTGAGAGAGCGACTGCAGACGAGATGCCAGATTAGGGCCAATTACATTGCATATTCGTCTCTGGATTTTCCATCTATCTATCTATCTATCTATCTATCTATCTATCTATCTATCTATCTATCGCAGTCTGTTCATGATCTATCTACCTATCTATTTTGATTGTGTCATTGAATGAAAAATTGGAAAAATCTATTTAACACGTTTCGTTCACTAAAAGGACATCATCAGACTAAAGTATTATTATTATTGATGGATTGAGATATAATGTAGGAAGTGAGGGAAAGATAGAAACGTAATCATTAGAAATAATTATGAGCCAAGAGAGGACGCTGAAAAAAAGGCTAGGTTTTAGGTTAAATTTTTGAAATGTCTGGCTTCCGACGTGTTTAGACAAAACAGTACAATTGGTTTCATTCATTCTCACAGCGTTTTTGTTTTTCATCGCAGTTGCTTTTAAATATGGCCGACACTGCGACAACAGAAATATTGTTAAGAAAGGTGAAATGTTGGAAGAACCTAGATGCAAATTTATCACGAAAGAGACAGAAATCAGTGCACATTCTATATATTATCACTTTAGTAAATTATTTTCTCTTTTAATTAGAATTATTTTCGCTCTTGGTTAAAAAAGAAATTTTATTATCACGGACGTTTATATTTATATTTCCAACATAACCACACAGGCACACACACACACACACACACACACACACACACACACACACACACATATATATATGTCTCTTCACTATCTATCTATCTATCTATCTATCTATCTATCTAAGCGTTTACGTTTATATTTCCCACACCTGTACACGCATACACACACACACAAACGTATATATATATATATATATATATATATATATATAATCTATCTGTAGGCCCTTATATATGTCTTCTGTCACTTTTTATCGCTGTCTACTTATCTGATGTCTATCCTGTCCCCTCTCTCAACCTATGAATCTCTATTCTCTATTTGTCCTTCTCTCTATATCCTTTATGTCTTTTTCTTTCCCTATTCTCTGTTTGTCTTTCTCTCTCTCTACCCTCTATTTGTCCTTCTCTTTCCTTATCCTTTATGTGTCCTTCTCTCTCTCTCCCCTCTATTTGTCCTTCTCTTTCCTTATCCTTTATGTGTCCTTCTCTCTCTCTCCCCTCTATTTGTCCTTCTCTTTCCTTATCCTTTATGTGTCCTTCTCTCTCTCCCCCTCTATTTGTCCTTCTCTTTCCTTATCCTTTATGTGTCCTTCTCTCTCTCTCCCCTCTATTTGTCCTTCTCTTTCCTTATCCTTTATGTGTCCTTCTCTCTCTCCCCTCTATTTGTCCTTCTCTTTCCCTATCCTTTATGTGTCCTTCTCTCTCTCTACCCTCTATTTGTTCTTTTTTTCTGTCTATCCGCCATTTGTACTTCTCTCTCTATATATCTACTTTTTGCCCTTTCTCTCTTTATCCACTATTTGTCCCTCTCCCTCTTTATTTTCTATTTGTCCTTCTCTCTCTATCCTCTGTGTGCCCTTCTCTGTCTCTATCCTCTATTTGTTCTTCTCTCTCTCTATTTTATATTTGCCCTTCTATCTCTCTCCTTTCTATCTGTCCTTCTCTCTCTATCCACTATGTGCCCTTCTTTATCTCTCTACCCTCTATTTTTCCTTATCTTTCTACCCTCTAGTTGTCCTTAACTCTCTATTCTCTATTTTTCCTTCCCTCTCCATCCTCTCTTTTCCTTCCTTCTCTCTCTCTCTATTTGTCCTTCTCTCTCGCTATCATCTATTTCTTTTTCTCATCTAGGTTACAATTCTATCAATTTGGGAATTTTATCAAAAACAACATCGGTGGGATTTGAACTCGTTCCGGAAATTCCATCTTCTGAATAATGTACCATACATCGAATGTTGCGCATTTTATCCATGTCTTTGTCATCCCAATATATTTGAGTAATTCTCGTAGTAACGCTCAATCCAAGTGATTCATTATCTGCCCAATGTATAAAATATTCATGTAATGAGAATAATGATTTCTAATTTGAAAGGCAACACTAATTAAAACCTGGAAGTGTAAATAGAATCTACTGCATATGCATTTGGGAACACAATTTCATACAACACCGCTAATCGACGTATTTATCATCTTGGCCGTATACATGTTCATCTACAACTGAATCCACCTTTAAATGCAGCGATATTTTGGGTGGATACCGTAGAACAATATTTGGCTTGTTTTACGACATTTCAAAACTTCTATGGGTTATTTAATGCCAAAATCAAAATAATTTGAACATAATTTTATAGCTTCAAATAAATATATTTTGAAGGAAATTATATCTCTTCATCTACAGATAAAATGTATTCTTGGTCATGTATTGTCGGTCTTTTTATGAAAAAAAGTATTCCTGATATTTTTACTATTAAAATGAAGTTCTATATTTTATAGTGATTTTTTTTGGTGGTTGGGTCACTATTTGCCCATAGCTGACAGGTACTACCACCACGGATGAGGATGGACCTGAGAACAAAAACAATTAAGAGATGCTTCCAGTTTCCTCAAAACCTCTCGATCAGAGGTTTTGCTGTCGGATGTAGTTTATCGTCACCATAGAACGTTACTCAACACACCAGTTTATTTGACCATCACCAATGTAGCCAGTTCAATTCACATTATTATCTTCATAATTGCGGTAAATATTATCAATAGATTAAATAATGGGAAGAGAAACACCCAAGACTGTGTTCATTTAAAGTTTCTCATTTTTATAGTTGGATAAAGGCCTCTGAAAATGTACATTAAGCAAAATGACAATGTATTTATAGAATAGCTATTGCCATTTGCAAATATGTCGATACATAAGAGGCGCTGCTCTGTAATTAAAGCTAATCTGAGCGGCGACAGTCTGTTTCATACTTAAACGCAATCTTCAGGCCATAATTGATCACTGATAATAATTTAATATGTGAAAGTTCCAAATGCTATGAGGTGTGTGATATTGCGTTCAAGCATGAAACAAACTGTCCACTTCTCTGATATTGAAATACTTTCACCCACAAATATAGCATACCTTAAACAATATTTGTTACACACACTCACACACACACATGCACACACCGCCGTGTCGGCTGGGGCTTCTGAATAACCCGACTGCACTTTTGTAGAGGCGTAAGACCCCCCACCACCACAATTAGGCGGCCACTCAAAATGGGCTCAAAACACTATCAAAGTGTAAAAATGGGTTTTTATAGTAAAAATGCCAACAATACAATTTTGAAAAAAAAAAAAAAAAAAAAAAACCAGCAATGCACTTAAAAAATTAAAAAAATATTAACAGCAATACATTTTTGAAAAAAAATTATTACCAGGAATACATTTTAGAAAAAACAAAAAAATTATTACAAGTAATACATTTTTGAAAATAAAAATAAAATTAATACCAGCAATACATTTTTGAAAATAAAATTATTACTAGCAATGCATTTTTGAAAAAAAAAATCATTACCAGCAATACATATATATATACGGTTCTTATAGTATAGATTCTGAATTTCACAGAATCTACTTTCGTTTCGATTCGAACCAGTATTTTGTATAATATTAACAGTTATTATTCGGCCACAGTGCTTCTTATGCTCCTTGATATTTATTAATTTTAGATGAAGCCACAAATGTGTGGCCCTAATGGGAATGATTTATTTTGCGATTTGGACTTGCTAAATTTTAATCTAAGGTGATACAGACATAACATCGCTTTGAATATAAAAATGCCTTGAATATTTATGTATGCCGTTTACGATTTGGCATTTGAAGAAAGAATAAAATTGTGACGTAGGAAGGCAAGAACGAATGAAATAGGAAATGAAAAGAGGGCATTATTAAAATAAACTGTTTCTAAGATTAACGGTTATAAAGTGAATAAGTGTGTGGACATGTTTCAGAAAACCTTTATAAATACAGACGGTATGATAGACGTAAAAAAACACCGACAGAGATAAAAGCAACTATTTTGTCTAAAGAAGCGGCTGATAAGAGATAAGAAGCTAATAAATAAAACTCTTTTAATTTGAATATCAAAGGAATTTTTTGCCCACCTTTTCCTTTTCCTGTGTTTCAATATTTTTTTAAAAAAACAAGCAAAATATTCAAAATAGTATTTTTCTGCTTACATTTATTCATCAACCCCTCTCTTTCTTTCTTTCTTTCTTTCTTTCTTTCTTTCTTTCTTACACACACACACATACAGGGTGCAATGAGTAAATTGTCGACATTTTGTATTTTTAAATTCGCGCATGAGCGTTTGTTTGTTTTTTATTTTGTCGGCTGCACAGTTTGGTTTGGTTTGTTTTACGGCATATCAACATCAATGGATTATTTAATACCGACAACCATTTTTTTTGCTGGTAATATTGTGTTTTTGTTAAAAATCTATTTCTGGTAATATTTTTCTTTCAAAAGTATATTGCTGGTAATAGTTTTTTTTTCTACAAAAAATTATTGCTGGTAATAAATTTTTACGAACTATTTCTGGTATTAAAACCTATTTTTACACTTTCATAGTATTTTTACCACGGTTTCGGGGGTTAACTAGTTGCCCATAGCTGGGACTCTAACAGGTGCTACCATTCTGGGGACCTGGGAACACCAGCAATTAAGGGTTGGGTCCATACTCCTCAAAACCTCCTGGTCAGATGCCTTGCTGTTGGACGTAGTTTATCGTCTTACCCAGGACGCGGATGTAGTTTATCGTCATAACCAGGAGGGCGGCTGCACAGTATAGTAGGGTCAGTTGGGCATCAGCTGTGAGAAAAACAGCACCCTGAGGCAATTCGCTTGGATTCGCCTGGATTCGGAAACGGTCCGATGTTCTGCTTGGAATTAATTCCAGAAGCTCCAATACGAACATTTCAGTGTGTTTGAGTGTCAATCAGAGGCCAATGCAGAGTATTCGGAAAGAGTTGGATGAGTCTAATGCTGATTACGAAGGTGTTTGGAGTGATCAATAGTGATGGCGACGTGATGCCTCCATTCATGTCCCAACAGGTCTACATCAAGTGCCTTGAAGAAGAAATGCTGCCCTGGGTCAAGAGCATGGCTGCTGGAAGATCCTATGTATGGCAACAGCACTCTGCACCATGCCATACAAGCAGAAGAACCCAGTCATGGCTGTCAGACAATTTCTGCGACCACATCACCCCTCACATCTGGCCACCTTACTCCCCAGACTGCAAACCCCTTGACTATTATGTGTTGGGTACAGTTGAGCGAGGGACCAACAAAACTCCTTGTAAAAATGAAATTAAGGCAAGGGGTATGGCAGCATTCACCAAAACATTTCCAATGATTTCCCTTGAACGTTCATATCTGCTCGAAGCGTATCTGAACGAAAACAAATGACATCAAACATTATGAAATAGACTAAGTTCGACAATTATTTTAATATATTCTATTGTTATACATCATATATATATATATATATATATATATATATATATATATATATATATATATATATATATATATATATATATATATTAAAAAAAAATCATGGGAAATTTGTAGTTTAAAAAAGCAGTAAACTTGACTATATGCTAAACAGATGCTCCTTCGTAGCTAAACTGGTATAGCACGTCAAACTATATGACGGTTCAGTGTAGGATACAGGTTCGATTCCTGTTGAAGGACACATATCTTCTATGAAAATTTCTCAGACATTCAGGCCGGTAAATGTTGTTAATACTGTTTATTATAAAAACAGAGCATTTACTTAAATATTTGTGTATATATAAATAACGTATAACAATAAAATATATTAAACATAATTGTCGGATTTTGTCCATTTTGTAATATATATGTGTAAATTTATTTTCGTACCATTCTTCTTCTTCTATGATTACATCTGTATCACGTTGAAACATCTATTCTCATACGATCACCTAAGTTAAGCAACGTCGAGTTTGGTCAATACTTAGATAGGTGACATTTGAGATTATCAAGAGCAGAATTCCAGGTCCATTTGGGTTCGTTATATTTCCTTACGCGCAAATACCCTTGGAAAAGGTATGAATCCACCTCTTATCCCCCTAGCTATAGGTTAATTAGTAGGACTTTTATCAGTAAAACATCATTATCTCACCCCTCCCAACTCTTACAATAAAAAATATTCTGTAGCTTTAACCCTAGAACCCTAACCATCAATTAAAGTTAAACCACTACAAGGCATGCGTATATCATACCGGATTTTGAAAATATCCAAAAAAAAAAAAATAAAAAAAATCTTTATTTGAAATATTTTACATGCAGGCACTTCAAACATTTTAGTTTGAGTTAACATTAATAGGAACTGAAAAACGTATTATTTAGGTAAGAAAATCAGGTACTGAAAATTGTAATTAAAAATAAGAAAATTTGCGCTCATAGTTAGTGTTCTAGGGTTAAATTACTTGCAAAGAGTTGATAAGACGTAAAACCAAATCAATCTCCTACATCTGTCTATATTTCTGAGATGAGTTATTGTAACTATTGTAAATAAATCAATCTTCTTCTTCCGTGAATTTTTATATATGAATTAACTACTTTATTATTTTGGAATCTCGTCAATACAACCCCCGCCCCCACAAAAACAAAACAAAAAACAAAGAAAAAACAAAATAAAATTCTTGCCAATTTCAATGATGCACATATGTCTGAATATTGCCAATTGTACGGGTTTTCATTTTTTCTGTAAATGACTTCAAGATCGATCTGAGAGTTCCAATAATTATTTCTGCTAGAGTCAACATCATAACCATTCATTCACATTCATATTACCTGAAAAAGTACAAATATTGACAAAATAGATATTTACAGGTTTTTATTCTACTGCAATTGCGACATCCATTCTCAAACTGATTTTCTTATCTTTGTTTACGATGATTACATTTATTTCCATGTCCTCAATTCATTTGAATTTCAAAATCCAAAACAGACGAAGGCAGGGAATAAAATCGTACACATTTCAAATCGTCAATTATTCCAAGTAAATCCGGAGATTTATTTCTTGTCTGTTGCACTTTTCTCTATCAACTTACAAGTAATTCATTTCGGATCCTGCACAGCCGCCATTGTCTCTCGTCTCGTTTGGCGTGAAACATCGTCTCATCAACTTATTCTTGCATGTTATTTCTAAATAACATGCAAGAATACTCCTTTCTCAAGTCAACATATCCTTTGTTTGATTATGCAAATTTCATAAGATTAAAAGAAAACAGTTAACTCCTGCCATTTAAAAAGAAATAAATTAAATAAAAGAACAAAAAAAAAAAAAAAAAGAAAAAAAGAGAGAAGAAAATGACGGAAATAAATAAATAAATTATAATTAACAGTAAATCACTTTCGTTTTATATGCCAGAAACTTACGTCACTTAAATTGCTACGATAAACTACATGCTTCAGTAAGGTTTCTGATTGGGAGATTGGAGGATTTGAGGATTGTGGAATTGTTGTCTATTCCAGGTCTTCCCTGACCCGGGGAGGTAGCACCTGTTATGGTCCCAGCTATGGGTAAATAGTGAACATCCAATCAAAAACAAAATAGTATGAAAATGTAAAAATACGTTTTTATATAAGAAAAATTACCATCTATATCTATTTAGAGTATATATTTAGTTGAAGTCATAAAACTGCATTCAAAATGTTTAAATTTCGGCATTTAATAACCCATAGAGGTTGATATGCCGCTAAATAACATCAGCCAAACCAAACTAAACTTTCTCTATAGTTAACCTTTCCTTAACACTGGATGACTTTTGAAGATTCAAGAGAGGGCCTCTAATTTAAAATTTGAAGGATTGACGTTATTTCTTTCTACACGCTACTTCTGTGTATAAATACAGGTTACTAATGAATTCGAATGGAATTCGAACTCGGCTCTCGGAGTTCTTGGAGAGCCGAGTTCGAATTCCAGTCGAACCTATTACATTCACTTACGTGCTAATAACCTTGGGAAAGGTATGAATTCTCTTCTTCTCTCCCTTTGATGGCAACTGGACTACTGCAGAAAGAAATGGCAACCTACTGCAGGAAAAATCTGCCTCGTCAGTCATGTGTCGAAAGATACATGATAACACTTCTACATTTGCTTTGATACAATTCCTGAAGGAACGAAACACTTCAGCATAAAAGTTTTCTCTTTTCATTAATACCTATATATCAATAGATGTGTGTATATTCCATAAATTTGCAATATTTACGGGGAAGAGTGTTAAAAGGTAAAGTGTGTTTATAGATATAAACAACCTATGGCCGTATCACGTTGACACATCGGTTTCCAACCGATCACTGAAGTTAAGCAACGTCGTGCTTGGTCGGTACCTAGATAGGTGACCACTTTGAAATACCAAGTGAAGTATGTTTCGATGTGCGGGTGGTGTAATGAAAAACGGGACTGGATTTTTAATCGGAGAGAGCCAAGTTCCAATTCCAGTTGGGTTCGTTATATTCACTTACGTGCAAATACCCTAAGGAAAGGTATAAAACCACCACTTTCCCCTAGCTATAGGTTAGTTAGTAGGGTTTGTATCAGTAATCATTATTACTTTTAAAAAAATTCTTATAGTCTAATAATATTTTCTGGCATTAAATAACTTGCAAAAGGTTGATAAACTGTAAAAAATAACACTTAAAACCAATTAAGTAATCTTGCGTATACAAATGTATTTTTTAGTGGGAGCATGTGTTAGAGTTTATATCCTTGTTATCTTAAATAATGAAATTATTGTCAGCCGGTCTAGAAATCAAGAAAGACCTTACTATGGAAAAATCTGCCTCCAGACAGGAAACGAATCTGTATTCTGATCCATCATGGGAAACAGTCTCTTAACGAAACCAATTATGTCAGGGAAATGGTTAGGAAATCTCAACAGGAATAAAGTTTCACCAGTAAATATAATGTTTTTAGTAATAAGCAAACATTTTGGATTAAAAAAAAAAATAATTTAAAAAAGTAGATACCGACAATGCAGACATGAGAAACAACAATTCATGAAGATCGACTCAGGCGTGAAGATAATAGTCAGAATACATTGTTTATCTATCTATCTATCTATCTATCTATCTATCTATCTATGTGAAAGTCTGTTCATTATCTATCTATCTATCTATCTATCTATCTATCTATCTATCTATCTATCTATCTATCTATGTGAAAGTCTGTTCATTATCTATCTATCTATCTATCTATCTATCTATCTATCTATCTATCTATCTATCTATGTGAAAGTCTGTTCATTATCTATCTATCTATCTATCTATCTATCTATCTATCTATCTATCTATCTATCTATCTATCTATCTAAAAACAACAATAATACATACATACATACATGCATATTGAGATAAAATTATGTAATTTAATCTATGTGAAAATGATCAGAAAGTTGACAATTATATACCTAGGACAATAATGCACGACACTTATCTTACCCCGACTAAAATTTTCGCGCTATTAACGATCTTCAGTACAGATATGAATAATTGTATTGTTGACAGAATGTATATCTTTATAAACACTTATTAATTAAGCTAATGTTCAAATTCAAAATTTTCTACAGACAACTGTTAATCCCGTGACAACATTACAATAACTGAAACAATAAATATTCGTTAATTTCTATATATATATAAACATTTCGTTCATCACTTGTAACAAATTGGAAATATCAGAAAAAAGAAAAATATTAAAAAAATACCGGTTTTATTTATTTAATGAAATAGATATTTATTTAAATATTTATTCATTATATTTAAATTATTTTATATTGTAGTGTTCGAACGTATATCAAAATAAAGTTATGTCAAAAAACAATATTTATTTGATTTTTTTCGTCATGGCAAAACTAACATAGATAAACACAGTATATATGATTTAAAAATATCGTAGTATATAAAGTTACTTGTTCGGTAAGATAAGTATAATCAAATTTATATCTCTGTATCTATAGCTATATTAATCTACATATCTATATGCATGTTTATGTATCTTTATACATTGGTAATAAGATGTTTGTATTTATGTATGACTGACGTTGGTGAATGACTTTGTATTTAGGCAGAGAAGCGAGAAGATTGTCGATCAAATTGAATTAATGATAAGTTGATGGCAAAGGCCAAATCAAAAGAAAGCCATAATAATCATTAATAAGATCAATCGATTTCTACATAAGTTAGGATCTAAGCAATTGCCAGCAGATCTTGTGAAGAAAAGAATCAATTTGTTCTTAATTAATCTCATTCTTTCATTTTGTAAGAGAGGAGGTGCGGAAAAATTCCGGCCCGACTAACTTGAACGAAATTTATATTTGCAATCAATTCTTGCTCGGACAGACAACTTTTCAAAATTCGCACCATTTCGATTATATATATATATATATATATATATATATATATATATATATATATATATATATATATATATATATATAATATAAAAGGCTCAAACACTAATATTCTTTGGGTATAAAGAAATCGAAAAAGATTTTCCAATTTCTGTTTGAATTTGTAGGTCTGATGAATTGGATCATGATTCTGATTCCAATTAATAAATTATAACCATAGAATATTAGTGTTTTTTTATATATATATATATATATATATATATATATATATATATATATATATATATCACAAATAAGAGAAAGGACAGATGGAGTAAGAATCCACAGTTCTTAGGATTTACTTTTAAAAAAGTGCTCAAAGTAGAGCAAAATATTATTATAGTTTTTTTTATTTTAATAGATTACACATTTTACATCGCGACACAAAAACTTTCATGTTTCAGAACGACAATGACCCTTCATTGGCCGATGGTATATAAATATATAATAAAAATTATTTATTTCGGAAATTTGAAAACAAATCGTTAACTCTTTTGAAACTTAAAAGGGTGGGGCTAATACTTTAATCAGCAAAAATTTTTCTTGATATATAAGAAAATTATATATCGTTATGTCACGCACACGCACACACACACGCACAAACATATATATATATATACGAACATTTCAGCTGGTGCTAAATATAATTGTTACGTTTTTTGCAAAAATTTAATGTGGAATGAATTTAGAATTTAAAATTTATGATTTGCGTTTGTTCGAATGAGTATGAATATGAAATTTGATGATGATTTAAATATGGTCGGCTAATGAGATAATTCCATTGAAAATCAATTAATTTATTGAATATTATAACTTATTTATCGAACAATTTTTTAGCCCCAAATTTTGCTGGGTTGGAAATGCCTTAAATTAGGTAGCTTATATTTCATTCAAGCATGTTTGGTTAAATAAATTTACATGTATTATGTCTGTTTATTTTCGTTTCAATCCTTTTACGTCCACGAATTAATTTCTTGGTTGCTGTAGAAAATCGATCAAGAAAAATTTCAAAATTTTCTTTCGAATAATTTTTATTTTCCCAAGTAATTTCAATCTCATCTGAGTCCATCTTCAGTGGATGGATATCTATGGATACATTAACACCGTAAATTCCGAATATCTTTTCATCGCTACGCAAGGGAGGTAACTGATGTAATCTTTCAAAAAGAGTTTTTAATTGTAGTATTTTAATTTAGTATTTTTTATATAGCACTTTGATGCTACAAGCATTTCAGACATCCCCCCAAATGAGGGCAGAAGATATACTAGAGCGCTGTTTAGTGATCTGCTTTGTAATATGAATATGTTCAACTGGTGATCTCTTAAAAGTTAATTGAATCTAGATTTTGACCCCCCCTTCATCCCTGTATCTGTTTGTCTATCAATAAACCAGTTTATATTCTTATCCGTGTTCATTTGTTGCTCATCAGACATTGCTACACCAAAAAAAGAAAAAAAACCAAAAGAGATATGGTTTTATTTATTTTTGTTAATTATTCACATATTCCAAGGCTCAAGAACCACTCAAATAGAGCATTACTGAATGAGATTGTTGTCTGAACCTAAGAGAAGCATTTAAGAAGTGCATATTAGGAGGATATGTAGGATAGGTAAAGGTTGATAGACTTGAAGAGGTTATATTGTAAGAATTTTGAAAATACTCTCGTAAGATTCTGTTCCACAAAATACGAAAGAAGCTATCTGAATGAAACGTTCTTCTTGACAATGGAATACAAAAGGAACGGGGAATAATTCATTACCCACAAGGCCGACTAGAGGTATTTTGTACTCTATTAAGAGTGGAAAACGAGGATTGTGCAGCTCCAGGCTAAATATGCTACCGATACTCATTTCTTGGCATTGATCTGACTCTTGTGTGGAAAGTCAGGTACTTTCTAGAGCAGTAAAACGATCCGACCATTTTTTCTGTATCTTTAACGATAGGTCCGACATATGAGTTCCACTTGATATCTGGGATGAACTTGAGTTTCAAAAGGACGTTCAAAGTAAGGAGTTACTTCAAGAGTACAAACATTCATCATGAAGGAGTACCTCGGTGTGGTGTAAGGGTTAACATACTTGTCCCGTTAGAACAATTACGACTGATTAGTGAGTTCGATCCTCACTGAATGCTTCATACTTTAACCCTTGCGTCACATCGACGCTACACTTAGAAAAACACCATTCATCATGACAGGAGAAAAATCAGGGTCTGCTGCTCGGTGATGATGAAACCATACTAGTTTGTTTTCGGAGGCACAGAATCTTACAAACCAGTTTTTTTTCCCATTGACCTGTGAGATTTCGATCAACGAAGAGATCATCTATCTGGTTCTGATCATTTAGATCTTTGGATGTGCATCCATTCACTGTTGTATCACGTGTATAAGTCGAGATGCCAAGTCACTTAATCAGTCGTCACTTGGCATCTCAACTTCAGTCACTTTCTAACAGTTGTGATGTGGCTTCCTTCAACCAGTTTTACAAATATTGTCATGGCTACTACTCTGACAAACTATTTTCCATGGTGACTCGACTACATGAATTTAAATGTGCTACTAGATTGGCATCTAGGTCCCACGCTTTTGCTATGATGGGACCTAGATCTTTGGATGTGCATCCATACACTGTTGTATCAATTGCATAGGATCTACATTAACGATCTCAGAACGTTCTTAGGTAGATAGTTAATGAGAGCATACAGTTTATAACCTTATTTAATCTGTCACAAGGCTTCAGATTTATTTATTGATTAAGCAATTCTCCCTAAGCAAGGCGGGCGTGCTACGAGTGATCAGGAGGTTATAGAGAGTAAAGGTGAGGTTGAGGAGAGGATAAAAACAAAATCAGACATCAAGGCAACAGAATGGCGATTGAATTTAAATTTTTGAACATTATAGTTATCAGGAAAGCAAGTAAGAAGAAGAGAGTTCCAATGTCGGGAAGTAAGAGAAAAGAAACTGTTGGACTAGAAGTGGCGGTTGCATTTAACTATTTCAACAGTAAAAGAGTGGGATCTAGATGCCAATCTAGTAGCACGCTTATATTCATTTAGTCGGGGAACGAGGGAAAAAAGCTTGTCAGAGCAGTCGCCATGAAAATATTTGTAGAAAAAACAGAAGGAAGCCATATCACGTCTGTGAGAAAGTGTCTGAAGTAGAGATGCCAAGTCACTACTGATTAAATTGCAGATACTTCTTTGGATTTTGTTAAGAACTTCCAGATGAATAGCAGGGGCAGCAGACTAAATATGGCAACAGTATTCAATGCTTAGACGAATGGCAGATTTTTAGATGTGTAAGATGGACTCTGGCGAGAAAAAAAAACATTCTCGCACGGCACAGTGTACCAACTTTCCTTGCTGAAGGTGCAGCTATTGATTCAATGTAGTTGTTCCACTTCAAGTCAGTTTAAAATTTGAGGCCAAGAAGGCGGAGTGAGACGAACATCAACCATACTGATGGAGGGGTGTAAGGAAGTTTCTCTGTGTTTACGCTCCTTAAAAAGGATCGGGCCATTACAGTGTTAATGGTCTATTCAGATTATCTTGTTTAACATTGTTTCAAGGCAGGTGCACATCATCATGTGTATATTGGAAAAAGGGGGACTTCTCGAAAGCCATTGGAAGACTTGATAGTTTATCCTTTTCTGTGAATATCCACTTTGGGAATGAGATATTGAAAATCAATGCCAAGTGGAACAGACGGATTGTGGATCTTTTGATGATGGTGCTGATGTGGACAGTGGTAGGATGGAGATATCGAAATTTTAGCAAGGGTAATTATCGAATGCTGTGCCAGGCTTTTTCATGATTGATTAAATAAAGAAGAAATAAAAGAAAGAATTATAAATGCCGGTCAGAGACAAAATGGAAAGAAAAGGACTGAAATAAGGACTCGTTTAATTATTGAATGTCTTTATTGAATTGGGTATTTTTGGCATTCGGAAGGGGAGAAAAGAAAAAAAAGAGAGAAAATAAGAGAGACGGAAAGAAGAAAGAGAAAGTGATGGGAAAATAAAGATACGAAAATAAATAGGGTTAGAGAAAAAGATGGATTGATAAAGAAAGAGAAAACGAAAGAAAAAGAAAGAGAGAGTGGTGGGGGAAGTTGAAGATATGAAGAGAAATAAAAGAACAGGAAGAAAGAGAGAGCGGATGAGGTAAAAGAGTAAGAAAGAAAGATGGTTATAGGGACACTGATTAGAAAAAGATAGAGAGAAAATCAAAAAAGAAAGACAAAAAGAAACCGAGAGTGTGGAATAAAAGAAAGATAGAAAGAAAAAGAAAGCAACAGAGAGAAAGAGAGAGGGGAATGGCAAAAGGAGAAAGAAAGAAATAAGGAGGAAAATAGAATATGATAAAGAAAACGAAATTTTAGAGAAGGAGAAAGAGAAAAAAAAGACAGTAATAAGAAGGAAAAGACGAAGAAAGAGAGAGAAAAAGAAATTGAAAGTGAAAAGAGAAAGAAAGAGAGAAATTTATTGATAAAATGGAGATTGGGAAGCGTTTTTGGATCAATGGGAGCCAATTAATTGTTTGTGTGAATTTTTTGGTTGGTTGCATCATTTGACCTTAAATGATCAATTGTTAATTCAGAATTGAAGAGAAAATCTCACTTCGTTTCTAATTGTGGTCTTTGAAAAGAGAGAGTGAAATAAGGAAAGAGTGAAGTAAAGAGAGGGTAGATTAAAGGGAGAAGGAAGTAAGGAGAGAATGAAGCACAAAGAGGGTAAAGTAAAAGGAGAATCGAGTAAGGAGAGAGTGAAGTAAAGAGAGGATACAGTAAAGAGAGAGAGAGAGTAAATATAAGTATATAGAAAGATAAGTAAAGAGAGAATGAAATATAAAAGAGGGTGAAGTAAAGAGGGTATGCAGAATAAAAAAGAGAAATAAACGAAGAGTGAAGTGGAAAGAAGAGAGCGAAGTAAAGAGAAAGGGAAGTAAAGTGAGAGAGAGGTAAAGAGTGCATGAAGAGAGAGTGAAGTAAAGAGTGAGCGATGGCGATGATGAAGTAAGGAGAAAGAGATATAAAGAAATAGAGAGAGAGAGAGAAAGAGAGAGTGAAAGATGTAAAGAGAGCGTTAAGTAAAGAGAGAGTGAGATAAAGAGAGAGTGAAAAAAGGGCAAGTGAAGTAAAGAGAGAGGTGAATTAAAGAGAAGGAGATATAAAGAGAGAGAGAGAGTGAAGTAAAGAGTAAGAGAAGTAAAAAGTAAGACATGTAAAAAGAGAGTGAAATAAAGAGTAAAAAGAATTAAGGGAACGTTAGAGAAATGGGGCGATTGAAGGGTTGAGAACATTCGGGAAATGAAAGAAGGAATAAGTTTTTAATAGAAAGATATAAGAAAGAAAGAAAGAAAGATCCAGTGACAGGACCCAAAGAGTTGTGAGTTCAATGCCTGGTTAAGGTAGTGGAGAACTTGGAGAGGTGAATTGAAGAGGAGATTACTGATAACTGGCATCCATTAGACATGGCACGTGGAACTAGAACAGTCTACCCCAGCGAGCTAAATAAGGGGTTCAGTTCGGCATTCCAACCACCTAAAGAAGGCCGGAGCGTAGAACGGCAACAAAAATGAGGACAATAGTCCGAATAATGTAAATAGTGTACATAGTACCTCATCGCAGAAATATAGACAGATACAGAAAGAAAGAAAGAAAGAAAAGAAAAAAGAAACAAAAACAATATTGAAAGAAAGAAAGAAAGAAAGAGAGAGAGAGAGAGAGAGAGAGAGAATGCATGAATGAAAGGAAAAAAGAAAGAAAGTAAGAGACTGAGATAGGTAGTTGCGGGAGAAGAGATAAAAAGTACGTAATATAAATTAGGGAAATCACGAGACTCGCTCCGGAGGAGAGGTATGCAAGCTACTCTCGTAGGCTTTAGTTCATTCCTCACTTGATTCTTCACATTTCGTAGCCTTGTGCCAAACAAAGTTAAGCCTATTACATATCAAGAAGATGGGTGGAAATAATAATGTAAACAAAAAGAACAGAGAAAAGAACAAATGCTTGAGGAAATTATATTAAAAACAGACGAAGTTCCTTTATTTCTTACTAACCTTAGTAAATATCAACACAAAATGTTTCAAAGCCAAAACATTTTCAGAGGCAAAAAAAAAAAAACAACAACAAAAAACAAAAACAAACAAAAAGCTTTTCTTCATTTCATTTATTCAGAATTGTTCAGACAAGAAATTAAAAATATGAATCTTACGGTAGAGCAATGGTTAGATAGTCTCCCAGAATATATGAATAAGTTCCAGCTTCTTCTTCCGGACTGTTGCAATGTGGAATGGACTCCCAAGGTGATGCTTCCCTGATTACTACAACCAAAACCTCTTCAAATCAAATGTCAACCGTAATCTATCCTATATCCTCATAATATGCAACCCCTGTTCCTTGCCTATAAACGCCCTTACAGAATTTATATTCAGTCATTCTCTACCTTAAGTGGCTCTTGGGCCTGCATTGGATAAAAAAAAACGATATTTTATCTTGGTTGGCTTATGTTCTTGTGTGGAGGTAAATAAGGGATGCCTGTAGTGTTATTTGTTTCAGTTACATATCTATAAGTCTGCCATTCAGCAATGCTTAGAATATTGCTGCCAAATATGGTCTAGTGCCCATGCTATTTACCTTGAGCTCTTTGATAAAATCCAAAGAAAAAATCAGCAATATTATTGGCCCTGATTTGGCATCTCGGCTTCAGTTATTTTCTCACCGCCGTAAGGTTGCCTTCCTGTGTCTTTTCTATAAATACTTTCATGGCAATTACTCTTCGCTATGGTACCTATAATTTAAGAAAAGTACTAGACTGGCGATGAGGTTTCATCAATTTTGAGCTGTCTAGATGTAACCATAAGTTCTATGCTAACAGTTTCTTCTCTCGCACTTCTCGCCAGTGGAACTCTCTTCTTTTTTGCTTCTCAGTCAACTTTGTTTTACAAGAATATAAATGCATGCCAATCGACATCTTCAGTTTCCTAAATTCCTCTTCATTTATTGTTCTTTCTCCTCAATAATGTTATTCTTTTTTTCATATTCTTTCACACTCAGTAACCCCCTTGCGTCTTAGTGGCTTTATTGCCTTCCTTAGGGTGAAATTATTAAAAACTTATTTTATTCATTTATTATTTATTTTTTTTAGCAATATTCACTTCTTTTCACTCTATATTATTTATTATCGAACACACATCTTGAACATTAAAAGGGGGAATAATTTAGATAATAATTCAGCTAGGTGCTTTCCAGCCAACTTTAATCTGCAAAAATTTAAATGCAATGTCAATCGCTATCTACTGTCCACCTGATTACTCTTTCTCTTTCTGTTCATTATTAATGTTTCAGTTCCTAAATCTTCCTTACCCTGTAACCAATTGTGTTTTAGTGACTTTATTGCCTTACATGGGGTGATAATGATTAAAAAAGTTACTCTCCAAGATTCTAAGAAAAGATAATTTTCTAGTGAAACTGAAAGTCATCTTCGATAATTTTAAATATTTGGAAATAAAACAATGACTCTGTATCGTGGTTAAAGTAGTTGCGTATAAATAAGAAATGAGGCAAGTGCGTCACGTAAGGCTCGTGTTTTCTTATCAAATCTTCTAATTCTATTTGGTTCTGGAACGATGGGAAGTCAGACTAAGGGAATTGGTCCTGGAATATAAATAAGCCAGGTAGAAATTAAATAGATCAATATGTCAAATTGATATATTGGAAGTGTGCACTTAACTCTGTCTCCAGGGCCCTGATTATCCTTCAGCATCAGCTGTAGAGTCGAGAGCGGACGACTCTACCAAATGGGTAATCTACCAAGTCTTATAGAGACGAATATAAACAACCAATATTTACTTATGTCCAGACCAAGTCCATGCTTATACATTCAAATATAAATGATGAATATTTACCTAGCTCTGAAGGAAGTAAATACTAAGAGACTCGAATCTAAACGATCAATATTTATTTAAACCCGAGACTAAAAATAAAGAGAAGGATTTCGTTATTACGGTAACCCAACAAGTGTTAACATGTCATAAAACCAACCAAAATCCAAACTAACTTTTTTCTTCAATGTCTATTCAGGTTTTGTTTATATAATGACGTGTCTGTCTACAAATCTTTTTGTTTTTGCTTATTTGAAATAACACCCAAGTTCCTGATGAAGTTTAATTGTTATACAAACAAAATAAATGTATGGTGTTTTTATTTTTCATTTATATTTCTACTTTTTAGAAAAATATTTGATAATAAAACTAAAACGCTTTATTAGATTAGCTGAAAATCATCTTCAAGAACAAGAAATACCTCTATCTATAAAAGGCAGGATGTGTGTGTGTGTGTAACGAATGCACGGCCGCAATTTTCGACGGATTTGCACCAAAATTTACACGCACATGCTCCAAGTTAGCGGGAAGGACAAGACCGACTTTGCATTTCCCAACTCCCATCGATAGTGGAAATAATCGATTTTTCATGCTTCTACGGCAGTTTTCATGTAGCTTGCGGCCATTTTCTACTGACCAGAGTGAGAGCCTATAGCAGCTTGCCATGAATAGGCAGGAAGATTCTATTGGTCAGCGTGAGAGCCAACAGCTGACTGACATGAATGTTAACTAGAGGCTAGCATGCAAATAAAAAAATCGATAGCTATATTTGTCACAAGTGGGAAAAATTTAAATCTGCATGCCACTTTACTCCAATTGGCTCATTCGCTTGCTTAAACTCAACGTTGATTCTGATTCCGCAGAACTGGGTTTGGTGTGAAAAAGTATTTGTTGTTAACATTCTTTTTTCATTCGGTTTTTCCAGTTACGAGTCCTTTTTTAAAGCTGATCGTTTTGTGTTCATTTTGTTCAGTTCTTTTTTCGTAACAGATTTAATGTTTAGTATAGAGCTTAGAAAAAATTTGCAGCATGAGATAGGCAAGAAGTAAGGCATATAGCAACATCAGCACGGCAAAGGACACTCCTTTAAAGGCAAGGAAGGGCAAAAATATTTTAAGTCAAGTGATAGCGATTGCTGTATGAGTCGTACGATTTTTGAATCAAGCACGGGCAACGCCGGGCCATGCTGCTAGTTTGTAAATAAAACATAGCCGTGTATTGTCGCACAGATAATTGCGTATAATAGAAGAGATGTTACTCGTGCGCCATATGCTCTGTTATCGAATCTGTTAATTCAATTTGGTTTGAGAATCTTTGGAGTTGAACTACAGAACCCCAATTGTGCATCAGGTCTCGCTAATGAATATGCAAAGGCTGGCAAATTAAAGACAGGAATATATCGATTTTTTTCTGTAAATTAATGACGCGCACTTTGGCCGTCTATTTGTAAGGCAGAAGTTGACTTAAACTCAGATGAAGCTGAATGTCATGGCGAGCATCAATGAGGATATGACGGAATTATATCGGTTCTGGCAAACTGATTCCGGTCACGCAACAAATCGATTTGATCATCTATTCATGGAATCGATTATTCAAATAATCGGAAAATGTGCTCGGGTCAACTTTAAAAAGTAATCGAAAGAAAATTTAACATTCAATGAATTTAATAAAAGAGCAATATATTTGCTTTGTAAAACTTATCTAGAGAATTGAATATATTCTCTCTCTATCTCTCTCTCACACGCACAGACACACATACACACACGTGCACGCGCACACACAGACACACATATATATATATAATAGAATCAGAAGTAATATAAGTAAACTATACTTATCGCAGGACGATTTGGAATTTCGTGATTTCTCATTCTTTAATATTGGCGTTAAAATGATTGTATTGATTATAAAATGTATTTTTATTGTTGCATAAAAGCTTATTTATATAAACTAACTTTGAAATTTAAATTTAATTTGATGATTTTAATAAAAATCCAATATATTCATTTTTTAATCCTATCTATAGAAGTATATATCTTCCAACGCAATCTCTCTCTCACGCACGCACGCACGCACGCACGCACATATATATATATATATATATATATATATATATATATATATATATATATATATATATAACGTCATCCACAGACAGACTGTTTCGCTGTTTCACAGCTCATCAGTGTGGCTGGCTATATATATATATATATATATATATATATATATATATATATATATATATATATATATATATACTACTATCACCAATCCTCTCCACCCAGAGCATTAGAAGCCGGTTCAAGCAAGACAATCATAATTATCTCAAACCACCCTAATTTATATTACTTATATATCCTTGCTTGAACCGGCTTAGTCGTGGTTCGTGGGGTCACTGTCCTATGGGTAAAAGAGAA